AAAAATAAATAAATAAATAAGGGATAAACCATCAAAAAAGTTTCCATTTCTAAAATGGTTTTCAACATATGGCAACTTTTGAAAATCCTTTCAAGCTTACTCAGAGCGAATATAACTTTTTTTCAAAAGAGTTAATATATAAGCATGCCCATTTCCCGTTTGCATTTTATTCTCAACAGTATTTCATTTGCTCACAGAAAATACTTTATGGATGAGATGTGATTATTAAGTAATGAGACTAGCTTTTTCACATGTGGCTAGGGATTCAGAATCAGGATTTCAGAGTCACTAGACAGAAAATTTCCAAAACCGAAAAACTAGAAAAGAAAAGTAAACTCTCTACCAGTAACTTTAATCCATGATGGAAAGCACCGACCTAAAAAAATGAAACTCACATTGTCTCCCTGATGATTTTCAGAGAAGAATCTCGATTATCTATGCATACCATTCTATCATGGAATTTATTACTGTTATCATGTGAGAAGCTGAATCTTGTCCTAAGATCTCTTAGAGTTAGTCATTAGTACTGTAAAGAGATGAACATCAGATTATACACAACATTACCTTTATCATGCATATTTAAAGCTTTTAAGAGATCTTCCCTGATTGGATACTTGGCTTTGTAACAAAGTCTTTGAACATTGGAAGATGTGTCATCACCGGAAAGTGTAGTAAGATCTATAAAGGTAACAGCTTTCAGGAGCCAAGCAGCCTGTGGTTTGAAGAAAAGTAAAAACAAGGTTAAAAATTAGCCTCCTAGGGCTTTGCAAAGGGTTAAGCTGCACACTATGAAACTATCAGCCACTGCAGCACAAGTTCCATGATCCCCAGCCAGAGAGCTGACCCACATTACGCAGCAGACCTCTCCTGTCTCTCCTGCTGCTCTGCTCAGCAGGGTATTGCAATAGATCTGCCTGTTCTGCTCTTTACTCTCTCTGGTGAATCCTCTCACCCCTTGCACCTCTGGCCTGCACCCCAGCTCTCATATACATAAATGCACAAATCTTAAAAAAAAATAAATCAACCTCCCACCTAGTTTGTCGACACTAGACACATGGGATCTAAATCTGATCTCTCCATTATTCTGAGGTACAATCTTGACATGTGTTACAAACATTGCTCAAGAGTGACCAACGGGGGCCCTCCCTGGTGGCACAATGGATTGAAGTACAGCACTATGAAGCTGTCTGTGGCCACTGCAGCACAAGTTAGGTCTCTGGCCAGAGAAGTAAACCACATGGCATAGCAGCCTTCTCCTGTCTCATTCACTGCTCCCCTCAGCAGTGCACATCATTAGATCCACCTGTTCTGCTCCTGAGTCTATCTCTGGTGAATACTCTCACACGCCCCACCCCCACCTCTGGCCTGAACCCCAGTTCTTGTATGCATAAATAAATAAATCTTAAAAAAAAAATGAGTGGCCAACTAAATGAATATTGTAAAGGATAAAATAAATATGGGGACAATCAACTTAAAATGTTCTTTCCTTCTCTCTTGTGAGTGATCAGGTATTCCTTTCATAAACCTGTTTCTTTCAGGGGCAGCTCTTTGGGTAAATATATATATATTATATATATATATATATATATATTATATATATATATATAATATATATATATACGTGCGTGTGTGTGTGTAAAATGAAATTTTTCTTATATATACATATATGTATACATATAAGAAAAAATTTCTCTCTCCCACAGATATTCCAAGTGGAAACCACTAACAGAATAAGTCTCCCCTCATTGAGCTTCTCCCTCTCACCCACCAGAAACCCCTTATACATCTTAGTTGCAGGTCTGGGATCCAAGGTGGGACATTTAATTTCTTAACCTTGTTGTTATGTTTTTTTGTTTTTCATTTTTCAATTTAATCCCATTTCATTTTCAAAACAATACTCAGAGTTCACAACTCATTCTGATGAGTTTCCTTTAGCTGTTTCAATCAGAATATTTCCAAGGATGAGCGAAGTATGAAATGGCACCCTAAAGGATTCAATCACAATATTTTGCCTCACTTGTGAAATGAACTCCAAATTCCCTTTAGTCCTGAGATGCAGAGCACGACTTGGGTTGGTAGACAATGAAGAACATGCTGACCACCTGTATTCTACGTCCCATCATTTTTTTGAATTCTGAAAAATGATTTATGAAAATTAATAGTAAGGTACGCATGAGGGTCAAAGAGGTGGACCCTGACATCTATGGGCCTCAAAAATGGGCACTTCAGGTTTAAATGTGATGGCTTTAAAATTAAAATAGAAGACAACCAAAGGAGGGATGTCTAAGAAACTGAATAAATGCGTTGAGGAAATATGCCATTTAATTCACTCATGAATAAAGATGCCTCAAATTCATTTGTGGCTTTGCCACTCAAGAGTGATAAGATTTTTAACTTGTTTGGATAAATGTGTTATCTTTCTCCAACCCATCATCATCATATATGAATTATTAAAATAAGTCATGGACAGCTGCAATCTTTTCAGCTTAGATGCATCTTGAACGAAATTCAATATTGTGGCCTTGAGGGAAGAGACTGTGCATTGTAAATTACAGGAATAGAAAATACTCAAGAAGGACCTTACTTGCCACTCCTTCTTCACGGTCCTACGAGCCTGGATTTGCTGTGCACGTCTCAGAACTGCCGGCTGGTTCACTTGTATTTTGGAGATCCAGCTAAGGTCTAAAGAAGAAAGAAGAAAAGCTTTTAAAATCTAAAATTATTACTAAATAAATTCGCTTATTGTTACATGGTCCTTAGGGGACATATTTATCATCTGGCATCAAAGTTCTCACAAAGCTTAGATTACTTTTTCACACAATGAGAAATAAATGGCCTTGCTGGAGTCATGAAAAGGCACACTTCATGTAAAACCAGGAGCATCTAGAACAGCATATCCTGTATAGATTCATTAAAGATGTGTCTCTAACAATGGGGGTAATGCCTGCCTTTTGATAGCAAAGACTTGAACACCCAGTCCAGGAGAACAAGTGATTTGTAAATAAGTGAATTAATGTGACTTACAGAAATCCTTGACCACTACTCCCTGCACTGAATTCATTGACAAGTCATGGTAACACTGTCTCGTACACTTACTATAGTCTGAGTCATGAGCTTATTGTCTATGAGCATCAAACATCTAAGACAGTGCCTGGCACCCATATTTTTCAGCTTCATCTATCAACTCTCGTAACACAGCCAACCTCACAGTAAACTGAACACAGACCATTTGTCTTCTATATTAACCTATTTCTATGTTCCTTTAGCAACCTCATGCTTTTGAAAGATCTTCTTAGAAGAATCTTAAAAGACCACTGTAGAAAAACATTTTATGTTAGGAGATATGTCACAATTATATATTTCTCTATACTACAATGGGGAAAATTGATTGCATACTGAACAATGTAATAATACAGGTAATAATGAAAATATGGTATATGCATCTACCACAAAAATAAGATCATCAAGAAAACTGTTACAAAAGATTGTTATCTCTTTTCTTCCTCCTCTCTCTCTATTCTTTCCCTTTTCTCATTTCCATTTTATTCTTCTTATGAATATTAATGTAAAGAAATTCCAAGTTAGTGTGTGAGTGATTAATGATATTCTTCCCTAAATATCAGCAAAGAAGGAGCAGTTTCAGTGCATTTCTCCCCTAATTAAATTATTTTGTTAGCCAAGATCATTTAACAAAACAGATTTTTAACATTTCAAATCCATCTGTTCCTCAAAGACACTGTGTGTGTTCTTGCTTATCTGCTGATGCAACTTCACACAGAAAATGGGCGTCTGAGGTCAGGTAAATGAAATCTGCCTCTACTTTCCATCCAAATACTTATTTCATTCAAGGACAATCCCAAGGAAATAAAGCCAGACAGCCACATAAGACTCATCCCAATGTAAGACTATATATGGAAGAACCCCTTTGACTCAAGGTAGAGGAGGCTGTTGGTAAAATTTTTCTTTTAACTCCTCAGAATGGTGAGGAGCCCTCCCTGGTGGCACATGGGTTAAAGCACAGCACTATCAGGCTGCTCGCAGCCACTGCAGCAGGAGCTCTAGCCCTGGGCCAGGTAGGTGGCTCAGAGGATGCGGCAGATCTCTCCACCAGCCTTCTGCTCCCTTCAGCAGTGTGTTTCAGTAATTCCACCTGTTCTGCTCCCTGCTCTGTCTCTGGTGGATTCTCTCACCCCCCACACCTCTGGCCTGTGCCTCAGTTCTTATGTACATAAATAAATAAATCTTCCCTTTTTTTAATGGTGATTAGGTTTGTGGTTAAAAGATTCTTTCAAGGGCCCTCCCTGGTGGTGCAGCGGGTTAAAGCACAGCACTGAGAAGCTGAAGCCACTTCCGCATGAGTTCGATTCCCGCCTGCCCCGGAGGTGACCACATGGCGTGGCAGACCTCTCCTGACCTGCCCGATGCCCCCCTCAGCAGTGTACTTCATCGATCTGCCTGTTCTGTTCCCCCTCCACATCTCTGGCCTGTACCCCAGTTCTGTATGAATAAATAAATCTTTTTTAAAAAAAAAGATTGTTTCAAGAAGACAGTGAAAATGAATGAAGAGTGCAAGGAGTTGTGTGCAATGCAAGTCTCCCTACAAGCAAGTGCTGACAGTGGCCAAAGGAGGGCTGCCTAGGACTGGGCAAGGCATGGAGGGGCAGTCCCTACATCCTGGGATACTGCCTGGGAACTATCTCTTCTTCTCCCCACTACCACCATTCACATCCCTGGGAGCACTTTGCTGGAAAGGGGACACAGGCAAACCTAGAGTCTACACCATCTGCCCCCACCCCAATCCTGCTTCTCATGACAATCAGCCCCTCTCTGCCCTGCAAATTTTGGGCACAGGCTTTTGAGCATATTGGGTATTCACTACCACATTACAGCATGCCTGTCTCTGGATCTGCATGTGCCCCTTGTTCCTTCTGCCTGGAATGCCCTCTGTTAGCTTGCCTGTATACACGCTTGCCTGTGTAGAGAACTACTCACCTGAGGTTCAAGGATATTAATAGGCATTTTTCCACCAAAGATGGACAGGCAACAGGTACAGGAAAAGGTGTTAAACATCACTAATCATCAGGGAGGTGCAATTTAAAACTGCAATAAAATATCATCTCACAAGAGTTAGAGTGACTATTGTCAAAAAGACAATAGACATCAAATACTGGTGAGGACAAAAGAGGAAATCCATCTGCCCTGTTTGTGGGACTGTCAATTGGTACAGATACTATGGAAAACAATGTGAACAATAAAAAAATTGAAAATGAGTACATGTGATCTAGCAATTCCATTTCTGTGTACTTACTGGAAGAAAAGTTGCCATTTCAAAAAAGGTATCTATAGCATTACTCACAAGATATGAAAACAATCCAACTTTCTATTGACAGATGAATGAAGAATGAAAATGTGATACACACATACACACACGGGGGAATAGTATGGAGTCATAAAAAAGAAGGAAGTCTTGCCACTTACAATATGGATGGACCTTGAAAGCACCAAGTTAAGTAAAATAAGTCAGACATAGACAAATACTGTATGGACTCAGTCATATGTAGAATCTAAAATAAATTTTAAAAACTGAACTCTTGAATATAGAGGCCAGATTAATGTTTACCATGTGTGGGGTTGGAAGAAGGTACAATGGATGAAGGCGGTGAAGAGATGCAATCTCTGCAATAAGTAACTCCAGGGGAGTTCTTCTAGAACTTGGTGACTCTTGTTAATCATACTATGCTGCAGTTTTGAAATTTGCTGAGAGGGGAACTTAAAGTTCTCATCACAAGAAAAAGATTTCTAACTATGTGGTAGTAGACCGACTTATTGTGATGATCACTTTGTAGTGTATACACTATGTTGTCTATCTGAAATGAATACAATGCTGTATGTCAATTGTATCTCAATTAAATAAGACTCAGTTCATACACATTCTCTGGGTAACCTTCTCTAAAATATGCTACATTACACAACTTTCAGTATAGCCTCCTTCATTCTGAATGACACTAATCTGTCTAAATGTTTGTATTCCCACCAGATTTTGAAAAATCCAAGCAGTGTGCCTAGCACATGATTGGCATTTGACAAACAAGGCAAAAGGGTACCCACAAAGCAGAAGTGGTCTAACCATGGATACTGCCTTCCTCAACTGCTTTTTAGGGGGGAAAAATGTTAATGTCTACTCTTTTTTCCCCCAGCTTCTTTGAGGTCTAATTGACAAATAAAAATTGTATGAATTTAAGGTATACAACATAATATCTTGATACAGATATAATGTGAAATGATCACCCCATCAAGCTAATTAGCATATCAACTCACATTTACTATTTTCTGTGTGTGTTGTGAACATTTAAAAGCTACTTTCTTAGCAAATTTCAAGGACACAATAACATATGGGCAGCTATAATCACATGGAACTCCAGAACTCATTCCTCTTGTATAACCAAAACATTATACCTCAATTACTTTTGATTAAAAAGGATTTGGCTTTCCTAGGAAAAGTTGGGAGTGAAGCTAAAAGGGGATACCTTAGGATGTGCTCCTAAAAAACCACTTTTTAATGCTCTTCCCACCAAAGGTGAGAACTCTCAAGGCTCATTCTGACATTACTCAGGTACCACTTGCCAGAGGCCTCTGTAAGCCATCTAACTGGAAGAAGTAATAGGATTACTTCTTTCAGAATATCAGCCCCCCCTGCTAAAAATATCATTAGCAGTCATAAAATTATCCAGCCCCATATTTAATCTGGCCACAGAATTTGCCTCTGTGACTGCCCAAGGTGATAAATTATGTAAGTGACTATTTCATTTTATTAGCACTTAATTTGCTACTCTTTAATTCATCAAATAACCCATGTTCTCCTATGATGGGGTGTGGGGATAAGAAAGGACTGAGCGGCCTTCATTACGTGCCTCACAATTTTTAATATTTTATTCAAGTTCCCTTTAGCATCTCCCATCTAGGAGAAGTGATTCTAACACATGCAGTCTCGGCAAGACTGTAGAATCTTTTCCTATGGGGCTGGGAGGGGTTTCAAATACATGTGCCTTTGGGGAGAAAAGACATAAACCTTAATTGGAAGATCATAATACTCTTCCAAAAACTCCCTTGTGAAGAAAATCCAACTGTTTCTCTTAGAATGTCACTTTGGTGGTTTTCATACCTTCAATCAGAGATCAATTTGTTCTCAAATTCTCTCTTCATACTTCTTATTTTTCCTGATTTCAATTCAGTGAACAAAAGCATTGTTTTACCAGCAAACCTACTCTGAAGTCTTCCTATCTCTCACTTCCTTTTGTGTTTCTTTGGATGTTCTTTTTCTTCTTCATGATATACTTGCGTGATATGGTGTAAACATATCATACCAAATGATAATAACTCTAAAAAAATTTATTTTGTCTTGATTTTAACCCTTTCTCTTGATGGTAAAAATTAATTGTGTGATATTTCATCAAAAACCTTTCCCCTAAGACATGGAATCAACCTAAATGCCCAAAAGTAGATGACTGGATTAAAAAGACATGGCACATATACACAGTGGAATATTACTCAGCAATCAAAAAAGATAAACACAATCCTTTTGCAGCAACATGGATGGAGCTGGAAGGGACCATGCTTAGTGAAATAAACCAGAAAGGAAATAAAAAATACCAGATGTTTCACTCATAGCAGGAGCATAAAGG